CATTAACGTTATTATTTTCGCATCCTGATATTCATTATACATTAATGAAGAACCAAGTAAAATACTAACTAATAAAATAACCAATAAAATAATTATAAATGGAACATGAATTTTAGCATCGAAGTCAGTTGTTATTCCGATTAAGTAACCAAAATCCATTAAGAGGGCACATTGCAGTGCACAAAATAAACAATTATTGAAACAATTATTATATTTTATATTGATATGATAGAAAAATCTTAATAATAATGTTATTATTAACATTCCGATTGCTGCAATATTAAACCATATCAAAACTATTGTTATTGTAATGAAGCCATCTGTCGCATAAGAGAATATAGGCGGAAAAATGAATAATAGGAATATTATTAAGGCAAAATAGATAAAATAAGTTATACGATTTATCCATATTGCATACTCTGGTCTCATAATTTCTAGAATTGTTTCCAAGATTATAAGGGTTAAAAGAATAATAGTGACTACAATATAAGGTATATAATCAATTATTCCAAATTTAAACATTTCAGAAAGTTGTAAGCTTGCTGATACTGTAGGAAGTAAATAAGTTGAACAGAAAAGATATTTCAATAAAGGTTTTACTGCCATGATTTCTATAATTCTGTAGTTTGGAAAATAAAATTTATTTATTCCATGGTTCTCATTTATACTTTCATACGATTCTTTTCATGCTTATTTTCTCGGATCCTTCAGATTTCTTTTTTTAATTACGTTTCTTTGTTTAATGTATCTCAAATTTTAACTTTTTTTTGCTAGAAACGGTCACTGAATACTGAATAAAGGATAAAGAAACTCGTGATTAATAAACCAAACATTATGAAATATACCGCTTTAACTAAAAAAAAAAAATAAACACAACTGAAATGAGTCAACTATGCTATAAATAGCGATAGGTTTCATTACCACTACCTTCATTATCTGCACCCTCAGAAATAAAACAGGAAGTGATTAAATTGTACCGTATTACAAAAACAGTATTTGGTCAGTAGCAAGTACTTTATTGTTACGTAGTACATTTGTTTATAAACAGCTCATGCATGAAAATTTAGTGTTTAAAGTATTCTTAGTAAAGAGCTTGTACAGTATTTTGCCCATAGTGATATTAATGTTTCTATTGAGTCCATAATTGGTTATTGGTATGAGTCTTTAACACTTTCGTTTGGCATCCATCCTTAATCAGTGTATTGTATAAGTTCTATCCATCCACAAATAGATAGATACCTTTGCCCGAAAACATAATTTCATTATTGAACAATTTATTGAAATATGTAACTATTGCTGTGACACCTTTTTCCATTTGGTCATTGCAAAGAAAGTTATAATTAGATTTCGTACAAAGTGACCATTTTTTTATCATTTTTTAAATAATATTTCTTATGACCTTCAAATTACATATTCTCTATAGACATGACTAACTACAAGGATCCGCAATCGCAATTCTGGGATTGCGGTGCTTTTTATCTCTCGTTGCAGGCAATTGATAATATATAAAGTAAAAGAAACTATATAGAAGGTTTCAATAGAGCTGTAGGACTCCATAGCTCGTCCGTTTAAAAAAGTTAATATAGTAATAACTTCTCAAAACCCGATAAAATCAACTTATTACTAAGCTAATTTTTTTAAACGGACGAGAATTCGATCTTATTTTTGACTATAGAGCCCTACAGCTCTAATGAAACCTTCTATATAGTTTCTTTTGCCTTATTATGGTTGGTTTTCGTTTTTTTTAAAAAGTATTCTTAATTGTATAAATAATGTAAAATTAAATTGAATTTAGCATAATAGATCACAAAAATTTAATTAATTCTCCTTATATCTTAAGTTTCAAAGCGACTTGTAAACCGGCTATAAGAAAATAAATTAAACTATCGTAATTTTTAAAAGTTACATTTAATTATAAAGGTTCTTACAAGTTGATATGGCCGGGTTAGGAGAACAAATTAATTAAAAGATGCGAATTAAAAGATGCGACACATGCTGAATTCATTCATTTAATTTTATTGCGTAAAATCATATATCGACATCAAATCGTATATCAAATGTTATATCTTGTGATTTCTGAATTTATTAAATGTATAATACGTCATATACCAATAAATCAATTGCTGCGTTTAAACCTTAAATTTATAATTTACATCATACACCACAGAATAACTAATACGATTTATTTGAATAGTTGGAATCTGCAAATAACCCTGCTCTGCTCTGGAAACAAGAATATAACGTTATTAAAGGATGCTGTTTCCAAAACAACGTTCATGAGCGTTATTTAGCATGGTTTGTTCTGAAATAGCGCTCATGTGCGTCCACACCCCTCATGCAGACAATTTTTAGTCAATTATGAATATTGACTAATACAATAAAAAAAAAAAATTCGCACATTATTATAGAAAATTTATTTTTATATAATTGTGAAGTTCCTTCACGATTAGAAAATTGATCTGTTAGTCAAAATAACACTCATGGACATACTTCAAATAGCGCAGATGCATGTTATTTCGAGAATTTACTATATATGGTACTTAACAAAAGGACCCGGCAAGAAAAAGTAGTGCTTAAGTGAATTAAAAGGGTCAAAGTAAAACTCGCTTGGTTTAATCTACGGAATTAAGTCAAGTACTATGTGAAACCCATTGTTAGTGTAGTATTAAATAAGACAATTTAAGTATGATGGAAACGTTACCTATAATCACACGGGATTAGAACAGGCATTTCTTAAAATGCATGTGCTAGGAACAACAAGACAATGGATTCATTTACTTAAAAGGTTCGTCATCACATAGAGCAAACAAAAATTTCAAATAATAAAATTTCTTGCAAACAGCCAAACGCCTACGTATTCTGCAAATCAGTAGAGGCCGTTTCAATTCTGCGTACGTAAGTACATGCGTACACATGTACGTACGTGTAATGCATTACACCAATAAATATACTTGTCACTTTCAGGTTAACATTTAGACAGACCATTGTCTTATTTTAAGTTTTAATTAGTAATATGTTATACTTTATGAAAACCCATACGTATCAATGCGATATGCCTATGTGTACAAAATTAATCCGTATATGGAGTTTTTCTAAGCTCTACAAAATAAAAAAAAAAGTCCTTTCAAATTCGATAAATAGGTGACTGACAAATTTAATTTTAATTCACAAAACCAACATTGCATCGTCATTTTCCTAGCAAAGATTCCAGAAATATATAGCAAAATTGACAAGAAATATTTAAAAACTAAATACTATATTACTTTGGAAACTTTCTTGCTATATATACTTTTATGACAGAATCTCACTTGCTGGGTCACACACTTTTGAGTTCTCAGAACAATTCTTAGAATAATTCTAAATCTGGCTCACGAAAATTATAAACATAGATTTTAAATAATCTACTGATAGAAATTAATATAAACCATAAATTCATTCAAAACAATAAAAGTGAAGTTTTGTTTACTTCTTTTAAAACACCATAAAATAGTATGTAATTTCTATTCAAATTAAAGTAAGAAAAATTGTCCAAATAGTCGTTGTTAAAATTGAATAAGTTACCTCTGAATAAATAGCTGGAATTAACATTGAATAAATAACTAGAACAACTAAAATAGCTAAAGCAATTAGAATAACTATGAATTTTAGCGTTGAAATTAAACATAAAAAAATATATAATTAAGTAGATGATGATGATTGAAGTACCTGGCCATATTTAGATACATTTTCCTCACTATCCTTACTAGTATAATATTTAATTAATGCCAATATTAATATTACTATTACTGTACTACTAAGAACTATAAGGGTTAACATTGTATTACTAAAACCTTCTGTAGCATAAAAGAATATAGATGGGAAAACTAATAACAAGAATATAAAATTTATTGCGGATCTGGATCTTTTCTATAATTATTTCTATGATTATAAGGATTGAAAGAATTACAGTGACCACAATATAATGTACATAATCCTTTATTTTAAGGTTAAACATAACCGAAAGTTGTAATCTTGCTAATACTGAGAAAATAAATAAATTAAGTAGAAAAAAGATCTAAATAAAGGTTTTCCTGCCATTATTTCTATAATTTGAAATATAAATTTGGGTATTTTAAGTTAATAGCCGAATTATTTCAGTATATTTATAAGTTCTTGTATTTAAGCTGTGCGATGTTTAATGAAACTCTGAGATACTGTGCGTATAGACAAATTATGTTATACAAATAAATAAAAATAGGCTTTCATTACTACTGCGCACTCTCCATTAACAGTAATAATTAATTCAATTGCAACTTTCAGTATTGTGGGGATCACTAGTGTTAGAGGCAAATAGGGATCGATTCACACACACCAACAAACAGGAGAGATGCAACGAACTATCGGTCTAAATTCGGAGGCGTATTGAAAGTAAAGGTGAGGCAAATACGAATTAGCACGGTCTAAGGCGATCCTATAATAGCATTACAAGGTAAATGGATAGACTTTAAAGAGCGTTCTTATTTTTTTGTGGGTTAAGAGGTCTTTTTTAATGAATTAGTTTGTGTAGGACATAAATTCTTTTTTTTTTTTTGTAGGACACACGGATTACTACTGCTACAAGGAAAATTACACCTCTTTTTATAAAGGAGTACAGAGGAAGGAAAAGAAGTATTTTGAACACCTCTCTATGGCTTTGGCTCACCATTTCTCATTGAACATAAATCGTTATTCCTTATTTGAATTAATCTTTTCACCTTTCATTCATAGCCTTTGTCATTTTAGTATTTTTTTTCAGAGAGAAAAAAGCGAAAGCAAGTCCAAGAATGTGCTTGTCCTTATTGTACATTATTCATTGTCTTAATCGTTCTACATTACTACATCCACACACTTAGCGTTAGCTTATTACCGTTACCTTGAGGCTGTCAATCCATATTGGAAGGAGGCTTAGTTCAAGATCTACAATGTAATCATTCAGTAGGGGTTTTGCTCATATAACTGCAGAAGGCTCGTTGTTAGAATTCTTAGGCCTGAAGCATAATGGTATGAAGGTTTTTTGGTGTATCGATCATATTACTTCTGGGCATTGTTTCATGAGTTTCTTGAGTCTTGAGGTGGTTCTGGTTTGGCTTGTGACACTAGCGAGAGCTTTATTATTTGCACACGTAGTCTGTGTATAAAAAGGTTACTATATTCAAAGTTTTCACATTGCTGACATTATATCAACATAACATAATAAAGTTTATTTGTTGTTTGCTTGTCTTTATAATTATAAGGAAATTTATTGTCTTTAGTAAAGAATATGTATCAATTCCATGGTTATTCGAACTAGACATAATTGCTAAAAAGTTAGAAAAATCTTTTGCAATTTCATTTTGTTATTTTTCACTGGGTCGTATAAGTATTCTCTACTTATGAATTGATGTCTTCTCTCAAAATATAATTTATATAATTTATTAGTAAGACATTATTAGAATAATTATCACTGTAATCCTCTTCTTATTTTGCCACTGCATGAATAAGTTATTATTCTTTTCAATAAAAAGTTGAAGTTTTATCACTTAATAATGTTCAAATAACTTATAAATTTCATGTTCACTATATACATAACTAACTAAAAGAGTCTATTCTGAGATTGCAGACACTTGGTAACGTATATTGGTTTAATTCATAATGATACTGAGATTAAAATTCTGGATGGCTCAAAATGGTGTAAATATTTTTGAAATATGATACTCTTTCAAAGCTAAATCTTTGAAGTTGACAAAAGTCTTTTTGTGAAAAGTTATATACAAAGATATTGTCCTTATCGTATTCTTTATTGAAGCCCAAACAAAATTGCCTATTAATTACAGGGTTTTGGTGCAGAATTTCAGGATTAATACAGTATATAAGAACATCCTGCATAGGCGCACTAAGAGTATACATGGGTGTCTAAATTAATTCTAAACATTTCAACATTTAATCAATCGAAATTAATTCTTCTCAGTGGCGAAAATTTTAATAGTTGTTAAAGTTTTTAGCAAAGTTATTTGAATTGTTTATGTCATAATACATTAGATAGTATGATTACTTTGTGGAATTCATATAAAAAAAACTAGAAATGTCAACATGTTTGTCGAAATTACATTTTTCAAAAAATAATTTAGATACCCATGTATAATTAAGAGATGGGATTTGAATATTAAAGCTTGCATGCATCATTATTTAAACCTACAGATTATAGAGAATGTGTTATCCTAAGAGCCATAGGGAATATTATTGAAAGAATTTTAAAGCCCATATTGAAATTTCCAGTTCTGTTCATCTTTTATAGATCCTAAATAAGTGAGATTACGACGATAATTAAGTTATTAATCTATAATACATATTATACCACCTAAGTTGGATATATATAATTTAGCGCATGTGCGTTGTAACGCACCCACCTGATCAACCAATCAGATCGTAAGATCAGGTGTATCGTAAAATCGAAAGAAAATAACAATTTTTCTAAAAATTGCTTGTAGTTCAAAATTTTGCTTATGAAACCACTTTTCGCGTTCTAATAAAAAAAAATTCTTGCAAAATTTTGATATCAAAATCGTTTTTATTATTACTTAATCATGACCATCTTAACACTGGCCCTTACCCTAAATTAATTCGCTAATTGGTTTGTAATGATAAAAATCTTAGATATATATCAATATAGCTTTGTAGGTTATCAATTGATTGTCTACGTCATTTATATTAATAATCATAGTCCAATGAGTGGCAGCCATATTTTTTTTCTTCTAAAAAAAATTTGTTGGGAGCATATTCTTATTTTGATTTTTTTGCATAATGAACGTTGACACTTCGTTAAAGTGGTGATTCATATAAGTTATCTGGAAAAAAATTCACGCTCACGTGATAGTCTTTAAAATTCTTTAAAGTTCATTTAAAGGTCAGAAAAAGGTTCCGGTAGCAAAATCGCTCAATGAAAACTTTTTAATACGGCACAGAGGATGGTTTCTTATGCAAATTTTCGAGATACATGCGATTTTGTCAAAACGACCGATTGCTTTGAACTTTTATGATCGGTCACGTTACACGAATATATGATTAATTATTGGCTAATTCTTGTTGATCGGCACGTGATTGTGAAAAGTGTTTTGATTTACATCAGCAAATCAGATGAATGAGTGTGATTTGTGAAACATGTCGTCATAATTTTGTAATTGTAACTCATGTGATGGATTTTACACATGATTCAATCCAATCAGATTTTCGCGTCTTTTTTTTTTTACGCGCAATCCCACTTTTCTTACAGTTTAGAAATTTTCTATATAAATCCCCACCATTCAATATGTGATCGGTATCATTTTTGGGCAGGCACTGTTAGGCCTCGGCAATACAGATGTTTATTGTTCGGCTAAATAATGTGCTCTACCCAAAATTCTGGGCGGGCAATAAGTTTGTCTGGTTGTACAGCTATAAGCAGACCGGTTATGCTTCGGCATGCACCGTTAGGCCTCTACAGTAGCTGGACAATGTCTAGGCGTTTATTGTCTGGTTAAATAATGTACTCTACCCAGAGTTTTGGGCGAACAATTAAGGTCGTCATACTGTTAAGCAGACCAGTACTGTTCAAAAAATTTTTTTTTCGGGGGAAGTTAGTAGAATTTTCTACTAACTTCCCCCTTTTTTTAGTTTTATCAATATAGCGGGTGTTTATGTGTGTGGGTATTAAAAAGAAAAAAACTCAGTAGTGTTTTTAATAAAACAGCTATTTTATGTCCAATTTAACGGAAATGATGCTTAAATTTGTTAATTTCAACGAATTTAACAAATCCTCTCTGGATGTTTTTCGTATTCAAAAATGCGACGATCATATCAGCATTGGTATATTTCCAATTTTAACATACTAGTCTTTTCTCAAAAAAAAAAAAAAAAAATTTAATTTATTATTATTATTTTTTTTTATCGACTACATGAACTGTTTCAGCAATATGTTAAAAATCAAAAAATTTATCTATTAATTCGAACGTTTACACACAAACAAGTAAAAGGAACTTGAACGATAAAAATATAACTCCTCTTGATTTCTAACTATTTCAAACGACTGAAACTTAAGACTTTATTAAGACGATCAGATTGAAGAGTAGTCTCGAAAGTAGCAGCTCTAATTGTATCGGCTTTTCCGGTTTGACTTCGACCTCTTCCAATATATGTAAGTAAGAACCGTTGTTATGGAATTGAATATTATTCCATTATCATCTATGATGATTATGAATCTTGGATAATATAATAACTTATATCATCTGTCTTATGCTTTTACCTAGCAAAGGTATCGATTTGTGAAAAAATAAGACCTACATGATATACCAATTAGGTAGTTCATATGCCACAGTTAGTTATGAAATAAAGCACTCTACGATGTTATTTATTATTTTAAGGCGCCTATGTGCAGTATTTCAAAATTAAGTATTAAAATTTAAGCCTGTTACGATGCATCAAATACGCCAATTCGTATTATA